ATTCCTTTATTTTATTTTTATGCGGTGCTAAGGATCAAACCCAGTACCTCACACATACCAGGCAAGCACTCTGCCACTGAGCTACAGCTCCCCCGGCCATATACTTATACTCTTAAAGTATGTTTTAGCTTATTGATTCTTTCTCTTTAATCATGTTGAAGCTTTAGGGGAAAGCAAAAGGGAATTTAAAAATGCATGAAGAAATGATAGGTCCTAGCAAGATTTCTGATGTTTGCTATTATTGTATAAGAAATCCAAACCTCAAATTACTAATGTAGGTCAACTTGCTGATTTAATTTTGTGTAACTGTAAAAAAATAAACAAAATCTACAAAACAATAATTAAGCTTCCACAATTATACCTGTCTTTAAGGCAGATAGGATATCATATAATACCATCCATCCCTCCAAAAATAATTAAAAATTCAAGGCTTTACTTCCATTTTTGAAAAAGAATTTCCCCCTGATTACTTTCTTTTCTAGTAAAATAATTTGAGATCCTCAAATAGCCAACATACTATATATAACAGTTCTAGCTTGAAAATTAATTATTTGATTACAATATATCTAAGTTCTGATTCCCTAAAGAATGTCTTCAAAACAGAGATTTTGCAGCCTTGGAAATGTTTATTTAATAATTTGAAAATTATTGGATTTCTTGCTTCAAATAGTTTTAAGTATTATATAGCCAAATCGGCTAGGCTCAAACAAGACTTCACTTCTCTATTGAATTCATGTACTCTTAGTTCAGCCAAGCAGAAAACAGTTAATGCCGTCATGTTTGAAAAGCTTTTATGCTGAATTTGACACAAAAGCAATCACAAAGCAGACAAAAAAGGAATTTCTCTTTCAAAAGCTGAAAGGAGAAAAATAAATGAAAACTCTGAGCCTGGGCAAATCTCTCTTGACACTGGAAACGAAAGTTTAAAATTATGATGAAGAAATAATTTTTCCAAAGAATTCATTGCCAAGTTTGGACCAATCTTAATATCCTAGGGAACGGGTTGTGAACTCAACCAAGATTCTGCCAAATTAAATAAATCCCATGATGACCACTGCTGGCAGTTTTAGGAACCAATGGCATACTATTTTTGCCTCTTATCAAAGTTCTAAATGGCACTATCTCTCATGGGATTTTGTCATGGCCTGTTGGCAGGCATTTTGATTAGGAGGGAAATCTTGTATGTTTTGCCCTAACATCTGTCTTCTATCTCAAAAGAACATTATTGTATCAGGTTTGTGGAGGAGATCAGATGAAGACTTGTGGTTGACAAAATTAAGTATTTTCTAATTCATGTTTTTTTTTTAAACTTAAGGATTATATGGCAAATAAATAAATGATAAATATGGATTTTTCTTAAGAACCTACACATTACTAATTGACATAATGGGCCATCTGCATTCTGTTAGGTAAATTAGGACTCTCCTGTTGCAGTTTCTTTCTTTCTATCCTGTCCATGGTTTTAAGATAGGTTTTTCCCAGATGCCATCTCAGATTTGATTTCTATTATGCAAATGGATTATTATCGTTCCTATTTCTTCTCTACTATTTTTTCTTACCATATGAAGAGTTTTACAAAATGTCAAACTAGTAAGGAAATAAAAATGGGACTTAATGCTATAAAATTAAAAATATTATTAAAAGTTTTGTAGCAATTTTGATAAAATTTATGCCATAATGCTGAACTTACAAATCAAAATTAAACATTTTACCTACATTATTAGGAAAATTAAAATATATGTAGATAAGAATTAGAAGAGATTATAGATAAAGATTAGCAATTATGGATCATTAATACATCAGGATTCTTGGTGATTTTTTAAGGTTCAGGTATGGTGATTAGTCTAGATTATTAAAGGGTGTAACAATGCTGGTAGTTGTCTTTGACACTATTTCATTTTTGCTCATTAGTGACAGGGTAGTCATCAGTGATAATTCTTTTTTTTTTTAAAGAGAGAGACAGAGAGAATTTAATATTTTATTTTTTAGTTATCGGTGGACACAACATCTTTGTTTGTATGTGGTGCTGAGGATCGAACCTGGGCCACACGCATGCCAGGCGAGCGCACTACCGATGAGCCACATCTCCAGCCCCCAGTGATAATTCTTAAGGGAGGATATCTGCTGCAATCACAGCTCTCCAACTCTGATGAAGCCCACAGTCTCTCTTGCCAGTCTCAGGCACACAGGCTCAGAGAGAATTTATGAGGAAGGAAATCCTGGTCAAATTCCCCAATTTCACATCATGTCTGTTTTTACTTTCTTCCTTAAATAAAATTATCTAAGTGATAATCCTGCTAATATCACTCAGTAGTGAAAATATATCAAACATAAAGACCAGAGCTTATTTTGTTTGCCCCCAAAATTAAATTCTAAGAAGAATTTTAAAATACCAATTTCATTTAAAATAGAGCAATTGGGACTTTCATGGTAGAAAATAATACAAAAACTTTCCCCTGCCTGTTTTCTCTACCTACTGGCTTATGTAAGTAATACAATATGATCTTATCTGTCAATTAATAATTACAATTGTCTTTCCTTTAGGCCCTCATGGTGTTTTCTCAATTTGTTTTAGCCACACAGACAATAGGTGGAAGAGGAAATCTGTGAGATCATCTACAAGAGTAACTGCTATGTATTCACATCATAGCTGCGTTACTGAACCTTTCTAGCCTTGTTTTCTTATTTTCAAACAGGAAGAAGAATACTTTCATAAGGAGATTTTGAAAAGATGAAATAAACCAATATATATGAAGTGACTAGCATAGTTTTTCACACATACCACTCACTAAAAGTAAGTATTAACATTAGGAATACTTATTATTAGCATATGTCATTCAGGAAATGAATTAGCATATGTCATTCAGGAAATGAATGGGAAGATCACAGCTTTTGTTATCTTTATCTGTCTTATGAACTTACATTGAATGTACAACAATATATAATTAAATTCCTAAATACAAAACACAAAATATCCATTTCTATAGAGAATGGTTGAGCCCTTTTTATAATGAAGTTTCAGATAGAACATTCTAGAGCATTTTGTTTTAAGTTTCAAAAGTTTGACAAGGATAGTAATTGTAATACAATACTGTTTTTGTTTTATGTATTTATTTAAAACATTTACATGGTTGAGAGTAAGATCGTTTTGTTTTCTTTCACAGTTCCTTTTGCCATTTTTGGTCTTATTGGAAGCCCTTACTCTTCTGAGAGCTATTAAATCCTAATCATCTTTGACATAACTTTAAGATTCCCTTAGGTTAAGATTATTTCTCATTTGCCAATATCCAGGCTCCTCTATCCCTAATCAAATCTATTATTATATGCCTCTCGTCTTTCCTTTCCATCATCTATCTCTTCCAGGGCAAATTTGTTTTCCTGCTGATTCTTTCTCATCCATTACCACTTTAGTCTATGATTTGCTAAATTCATAGTATCCTGAATTTATGGAGCGTACCTTCTCGGTAAGACCAGATCCTTAGAGAATAACCACTTGGATTTTGTTTCACACAGTCAGACAAGAAAATAGGAAAATGATCATTAAAAATGACTAATGCAATATATGCTTATTCATATTAGTGAAAATAAGTATCTCATGAGAGAAAGAATTTTAGTCTACATAGATTTTGCTTCCAACAGAGCTAATGTTAAGACTTAAAATTCTATGTGGCCTTTTAATATTCGTATCGTATAAATGAAAATCTTGTTCTCATAGCAACTTAGATCCTTTGACAAAGTGGCTATGATACAGATTGGTTAAAAGCTCATCAATTACTCTTTATGAAAATAAGTTGGAAACATGCTCTTGTCAATGAGATATGGTAAAATTTTCAAGCTCAGCTAAAAGCCCCATGGATTGATTGACTAACTATATTCTCTCTTCCTCTCCTCCAGTGGCCTTGGGCAGCCATATATTTAATATTATAGTTTCCAAAATTTGGAAAAGCTTATCCCCAAGTGACCATTTGGACAGAGCTCCTAAAAAGGGCTTTTTAGCTTCCATTGGGCTATGACATAATCAAAGAGTGAATCTTATTATTCTTCATTGTATTTAGCTGTTGTCATTTCAGTGTTTATTTCTTATTGTAGCTTAGCATAATTTAACTTAATTTAGAAACAAAAACCTCTTAATCCAAGAAAACTATATGGTTTTCTTCTAAGATGGTATAATTAATATAAGATTCAGATATCTGATTAGCAAAAGTCCTTTTTTAACAGATACAAAAATCTGTAAAGGGTTTTGATCAAGTACTCAGTATGATCAACCTCCTATCATGCTTAAAATGGTAGGGGATTTTTGCTTAAAATTCCTTTACAGGTATTCATTTTCTAGCATTTAAGGTATTTTCTACTGATCTACAAATGCCACATTTGAAAGATTCAAATGCATGCAAAGCATCATCCATGGGGTTTTATAAAATATAATTGTTAGATAAATTTTACTTCCTTTCCCTTTTTCATATCCTAAGCAGTTCTAAACTATTAAGTAGATACATATCTGGTAAAGTTTGGGAGGAAACAAGGAAAAAGTGAAGGAAAAGAAATAAGGGAAGAATGATTTGGGCTTGAGGTCAGAGAATGGGAAGAAAAAATCAGAGTACACCTTATTCCTGCCTTGTGCTATAGCCACTTCTCCATTTAGGCCCTCAAATAAGGTAAGGAGTAGATTTGTTATTTGTTTTTCTAGGAAGGAGTTAAATCCAAATAGCTGACTTCATGCTACTAACTAAGTGTGGTATGCACATCAATTTTGAAGTGATCTTAAAATATAGTTCAATATAAAAACTATTCTACTCTACCCAGATAAAATAAAATCAATTTAAGATTGATATTAGTCATCAATTTTCCACTTATCTCTATTATGACTCAAAAGTTACTTCAATTTAAATGTATTTTTCCTTTAATACATTTATATTTAAAAATCATTAATATTTAATCCATGGCATAATTTTACTCAGTTTACCAGTATTTTATTTTGAGAATAAATCTTTGATACTAACCTTGGTCTCAGTGATTTTCTTTTGGATTGTATCCATTATGTAAGGACCTTCCTTCAATGATTCAAGTTTGGCTCTGGCCTGTCCTAAGACTTGCTCAGCTTCTTCCTTAGCTTCCAGCCATTGTGTTGAATCCTTTAACATTTCATTCAATTGTTGCCTCCGATTCTGAAGGTGTTCCTGTACTTCATCCCACTGATTCTGAATTCTTTCAACTGTAATGAAAGGAAAAAATGAACACTAATAAATAATAGTCTGGAGAAGACATTTTCAGTTTAACATCCAAACATTATCTCATGTTTATATTGCTCATTGAAAAACATTGTTCATTGCATTAAGACTAGGACAATAGATAAGATTCCTTACTTTTTCACATGCTAAACATGATTTCTGTTAAATTATCTTCCTGAAGATGACCTAGAACACATATATGTGTGTATACACATATATATGTTTATATGTATTCATATAAATTTTTAAAACATTTTTTAGTTGTAGATGAATACAAAACCTTTATTTTATTTATTCTTATATAGTGCTCAGGTTTAAATCCAGTGCTTCACACATGCTAGGCAATCTCTCTACCACTGAGCCACAACCCCAGCACCTATATGTATAAATTTCAACTATTTTGTCAATTCCCAGAGTCAAATATGAGTCATCATTTAGAAAGGTTCTACAGCAGAATGCCCAGATTTCCTCACCATTACTATTCATTAGCCCACTTTTTAGTACTAGAGTTTGCATTTTATTGCCTGAAGGATTTTGGATGGCAAAGCAAATTCTTGTGGTAACAGAAATCCAAGTGGCAGGGTAAACATATTGAAGTTGATATCGCCTCACCATGTCCTAGGAATAGCCTATCACTAATGACTGATTATAGGAATTTGGGTATGGACACTCTTATGCCCTTATGGGAGATAACTCTGAGGCACGTGTCTTCCAAGGGATCTAGAATTTCCCTGGAGGGAGAAATTTGCAGTGGCTTACAGTGGTAGCTGGTTGATAATGGACCATCTTTTATTGGCTACCTTGCTTCCTTGCTTTAGTGTTCTCACTTCCTCACTCCTCTGATATTTCCCTTACCTCCTAAATAAACCACTTTTCTTAGAATCTTCTGAGGAAACTCAAGAGTAGTTAGGTGTATTGGAAACTTCTTTTAACAACATTAAAGAATTCATGTGGAGTACATTTTGTACAATCGGCTTATATTGAGGCTATTTTGGGCATCATTATGAGTCCAAGAGAAGTCCTTTAGATTTGGTTAAGAAATACTTTATTTAGAATATTAACAACAAATAGGATTACATTTTTTTCTAAACAACTTCTTTAAATTGGTATCAAAATAGAAATAATGCTGTAGAAAATAAACAAAATTACCAACCTCTTTATCCTTTAACAATAAAACCTAACAGAGATTCTAGATTCTTCCCTAACCCTCATCTAACATATATATAGTGTGTGTGTGTGTATGTGCGTGCACGCACATACACACACACATACAGTTACAAATTCCCTTCATACATACCTTCTTCCCTTTTTCTAATGGAAAGCACTGCGTTTTTCCCCCTTCACGTCTTTAGTACACTGTATACAAATCTTCTGCCCCAAGTTTTGGTTTTACATTATAAATTCTACCCTGGAGAAAGATTAGTAACTAATATAAATTTGTTCACCTTACTCTCTATTTAAAACCTGCTATAGCTTGAGTATGGTTTGTCTTCACAACTCCTGTTGAGGCTTGCTCTACAAGAGAGCATTATTGGGAAGGGAGACACAGTGGAAGATGGTCATTGGTATACTCGTGAATTCAGTAATGCCTTTTTCAGCTGAGTGAACTCTTGCTCTCACCAGACTGAATTAGTTACTGTGAGAGTAGGTTGTTATAGAGCAAGACTGCCTCTCAAGTTTTGCCTCTGCTGTGGTTTGGTTCTTAAATGTCCCCCAAATGGTCTATGTGTTAAAGGCTTATTCCTGGGGCTAGGTTTGTGGCTCAGTGGTAGAGCACTCATCTAGCACGTGCAAGACCCTGGGTTTGATTCTCAGCACTGCATAAAAATAAATAAATAAAATAAAGGCATTGTGTCTGACTATAACTAAAAAATAATATTAGAAAAAAAGGCTTATTCCTCAGCCCATAACATTATTAGGAGGTATTTAATCTTTAGCAGGTGGGGTCTAGTGGAAGGAAGTTAGGTTCTTGGGGATGTGCCCTTGAAAGGGACATTGGAACTCTGCCCCTGCTACTTTATACCCACCATGAGGTAAATATCTTCCTCATGGCACTCTCCCTACCAGGATGTACTGCCTCATCACATGTCCAAAGGCAAAAGAACCAAGGGACCATGGACTGAAACCTCTGAAACCATGAGTCAAAATTAACCTTTCTTTCCCCTAAGTTTATTCTATCAGGTATTTTATTTTCACAGTGACTGAATGTTGAATAGAAAAGACTCTTTCACATACACCCATTTGCCCTTCCACTTTCCACCATGAGTTGAAATATCATGATATTCTTACTAGAAGCTGAAAAGATTTCAGTACCATACTCTTGAACTTCTTAGACTCCAGAATCAGAAGTCAAACTAAGCCTCTTTTATTTTGACAAATTATCTGGTTTTGGTGATTCTGCTATAGCAACAAAAAATATACTAAAAAAACCTTTTCAATATCTCCCCACTGATTCTGGTGTATCTTAGCTTTATAGACATATTCCTATTGTTTGGACTGTGTGATCTAAGAGGTTTATCTACAAAGGAATAAGTCACAACATAAGCAGGGTATAAGAAAACCACTCCAGAATATCCAAGAACCTTGTAGCCGTAGAGTTGTTAGAATGTCTAGACCAAAAGACAGGAGGGAAAGAAGAAGTGGTCAGAAACAAAGAATCATAATGAGAAACCACCTTGAGAAAAAGCAGTAACATTTTATCAAGAGACACAGTCAGCCTGTGGCAACCTCAGAAGTAGGGAATTAGGAGCATAAATATCCTGATCTCATTTTGCCTACTCTCTTAAGTTTCCTATTAGGGCTCCCCAGTGCCTAAACCAACTGGAAGCCAGAGAGCCTGGGAGCTCAATGGTGACACATGTCGGCCCCCCAGAATAGAGAGCAGGATAGAGAATGGCAAACAGAATGTACATAGCATAGTACCATGAAATTATGTTTCTTACTTCAGGATGTAAATAAACTCCTTTTAAATAAATCATGCCACCTCCATACAGTTATGAGAAGTTGAAAATGAGTTAAAGAATTACTTAAGATATTTTGTAAATAAGGATCAGGGCTACACAGACTCTACAAAACCAGTGATTGGGTCATGAAATCAAGAATCTGGTAATCAAGATGGGTATAACTGAATGGTTGGCACTCATTGTAGACTACTATTTTTATTGGGTTTATTTCTATTTGAGACCTTTCTGTGCATTAAGAAAGCAGTCAGTGTATTACATTCTGACTTTGGTTAACATATCAACTTGTGTTTAAATAGCAGTCTATAACCTTTGAACACCATTGTTTTGTTTATTATCATTACTGCTCCACTTGGTAGTGGGAAGCCCATTATAATTGAGGATTTATAGTTACTGATTAGTCTTCTACTTAATTTTTGGTTTGTAAAATTAATAGCATAAATACTATTATAAGAAAGCTGTTTAATATAAAATAAAATGTAGCTCACTGTTCTGAAATATTTTCCACTAGTCACAGAAACAACTGATATTATAATTGAACACTTTTTTGGGGGGTGCCAGGGATTAAACTTGGGGACACATAGCCACTGAACCATATGCTCATCACCTTTTTATTTTTTTAATTTTGAGACAGGGTTGCTTAGGGATTCACTAAGTTGCTGAGGCTGGCTTTGAACTTGCTATCCTCTTGCTTCAGCCTCCTAGGCTGCTGGCATTAGAGGAGTGCACCACCCATCCTGGCTCAATTACACACTATTTTTAACTTGTAATAGAAGGATACATTAGTTTGTATACTTGGCACATTTTTTACTTAATCTATTGTAGTAAACTATAGATATATAAAAGTAATAAAATTTATTTTCCTTAAAAATAGTCTCTAATTACAATTTGTCTTAACCTTAGTTAGCTTTAATTACTGACATTTTACTATGTTAGATATTGTTTTAGAATGCCAAATGGTTTTTACATAAACATGGTGAGCTGTGTGGATTCATTCCAGTGAGTATATTATATATCTATAATTAATTTTGATATCATAGACAGTCTGTATTTTAAAAAGGACATCATTTGACATCAGGATGAAGTAAAGCAGTTCCTCCCATTATGTTGGTATATATTTTTAATTGTGGAAAAAAAGAGGGAACTTTTATAGCCTGGACTGAATTTGAGACAAAAATATCATTTGAGTGCTTGTTCAATCATATTAATGGAAGATTTTTAGCCTAAAGTGGTTATATATGCATAGTAGGGTAAGATAAAATGGTATATTGGGATGTACATTCTACTGAGAATGTGCCTTTTCACTCTTGATCTTCAACTACACATTATAACTAGATACTACTTAACTAAATAAATTTATGTTACAGGATCATTTGATAATCCATCTACACCTGAATAGACCCTACCCAAACATTTATCCATCTAGCCATACAGTTGCCATTTCATTCTCCTTCTACTAGCTAACAAGTGTTATGTCAAGTACTGGGAAAACAAAGAAGCCTAAGACAGATTCCCTGGCATATGGCTTGGACATTTGTTAGACAGTGTTGCTATTCACTATCTACCTGAAGAATACATGATGATCTAGGTTAAAATAATGAGTGAATCTTGGACCTACAATGACAGGTTTTGAGGGCCATTCAAATAGGAGTATAATTGTACATAGACTGGATGGTCTATAGCATAGTTACATACTTTGGGGGAGAGAGGGAAAAGTCTGGGATTGAAAATTCCTGCAGAGAAATAAAAACTGAAACCATTAATGTGAATGCATTCTGATCAGTATGACATATAAATTGAGCAGAGCAGAGGTTTGAGGATGGAGTCTTGGAAAATACAATGAACAAAGAATGAATAAAACACAAGGAGCCAATAAAATAAAGGTGAGAAGTATAAGAGGAATATCAGGAAAGCATATTCTCATAGAACATGAAAAAGAAACATTTTTTAAATGATAGTGGTTAAAAATTTTAAAAGTCAAAGATGTAACAAGAGATAACAAAAACAAAAATAATATTAATTTG